TACTGTAAAGACATATACCAATACACAAAGCAAAAGGGAGTGGGGGTTAGAAGGATGCATGTTTCTATCAAGAGATACTCTGAAAAGTTAGGGACGTGGGATAGTGTGAGAGTTATCTAGGTGGAGGTAAGATGATGTATGAAGGCCTTAAAGTAGGAAAGAACTTAGGATGATCCAAGGAATTTAAAATGGGCCAGTAAACTCCAGGCCATACAGGGCACATTACAGATTGTTTTAAACTAGACTATAAGATGTAGCAGTAGCCATGCAAAAGTTTTAAGCAAAGGAGAACACGAGCAAACTGGTAGATCTGTGTTTTTAAAAATCACCCTGGATGCTATGAGGAGAAAGAACTGAAGGGAGGAAAGAAAAGATTCAAGATGACTAGTTAGGAAGATACTGCAGTTGTCCAAGTATAAAATAATGGTGGATTGGATCAGTGTGGAGCAGCGGAAACAGAAAGAGGTAGAGTTTCAAGATAAAATTAAGAGATACAAAAGCAGGGCTTGGACCCCGAACACACACAAGTCCCAGGTTTCTGGCCTGTGTAACTAGGTAGACAGAGGTGCAACTTACTGAGATGGGCCTCACTAGAGAAGCAGAGGTGCGATGGATGGGGAAAGCATGAGCTCATTATTAAATGCACCATATATGTCCAAGTAAAAGGTCAAAGAGGGCCAGGTGCGGTGGCTCACACCTGTTATCCCAGCACTCTGGGAGGCCAAGGCAGGAGGATCACTTGAGGCCAGGAGTTTCAGACCAGCCTGGGCAAAATATCGAGACCTCAGCTCTACAAAAAGTAAGAAAAATTAGCCAGTGGTGCACCTGCAGTCCCAGCTACTTAGGAGGCTAAGGCAGGAGGATCACTTGAGCCCAAGAGTTTGAGGCTGCAGTGAGCTATGATAGAGCCACTGCATTCCAGCCTGGGCAACGGGGGTGGGAGGGAGGAAAAAAAAGGTCAAAAAGTTAGCTGGAAATGTGATTAAATGCTCAAAAGAGGTCTTGGCTGAAGACACACATATGGGCATTTCTATCACAATAGTATTTAAAAACATGGGCATGGATGCAAGTCCTCAGGAGAAAGCACAGATCAGACAAGAAATTAACGATCCCAATCCTTGAGGAAATAATAACGTGTATTAGAGATTAGACAGAAAAAGAGAAAAACTAGTGAAGAACAGGGAAAAGCAGTGGGCCAGAGAGGCAGAAGGAAAACCAGGAAAGTGCAGGGCTATGGAAGTAAAAGGAATTATATTTCAATTAGGAAATGGTCAACAGTGACAAAGAACACTGCAATAAGGATATTAATGATGCTTAGGTTTCCAGGCCATCTCACAAAAACTCGTTTAACAATAATATAGATAGATTACAGCATTACATTATCTTACTATGAAGCAGTGCGGTACAGTGTTTGAACAAGTAGGCTCCAGACCCACAACGTCCAGGTTTAAATCCCAGCTCTACTACCTGCTAGCTATGTGGCTGTAAGTTTATTACTTAATGGCTCTATGCCTCAGTTTCCTCATCCATAAAAGGAAGATAAAAAGAATACCTACCTCAAAGGATAGCTGTAAGGATTAATTAATATGTGGGTATCTGAACAACAATAGCTAGCAGAAATTAGTTGCTCATGAGGCAAGTGATAGCTACTATTACTTACAACATTGTTTCTACAAGAAAAAACCTTCTGAACTCTAACAACAGAAGTTTGTTTGAAATAACTTTCCTTCTTCATAAATTATGATCTACAAGGTCTTTTCCCAAAAACCTTGAGGGAAACTCTAGATTTAAAATGTATTCAAAATGTATTCAAACGAATGTCCTTCATCAAGAAGCTGACCATTTTTAAAGAAGTTAACCATTATTTTGGTCTTTTTGGAGGAGTACCTATCACACTCATTACACATTAATATCATAATCAGAAAAAAAATGTATTCATTAGGAATTCTAAAAACTGGTGGCAAAACAAAACAAAACAAAACACCACACACAACCCCGACTTTCAAGTTAGAAAGGCAAGTATAAATCTATTTAAATACAAAATATTTCCATTTCGTCACTTTCTGGTGTATATTCAAATACAAACACAACATGTATCATTTCTGTGATGAAACAGCCTGCCTCTTCCTGTTCTGCACGAGATATTAACATTAGGTGGAGAACTAGGCAGCAGGTCTGCAGATTTCTGACGACCATCTTATTTCCAAAAGCATGCAAAGAAAGGTATTTACAGCACCCAAAACTGAGCCCCCAAGAAGTATTTCTAATTGCATGGTGATCAGCAAAGGACACATTCATTTGGTTCCTAAAACTAACTGAGAAGAGGACAAGTCAATGCAGATTTATTTATATGACCAGTTCTTATCCCTGAACTTTCCAAGTACCCAGAAAGTACTATTTTAGAAATATTCAGAAATCTTTCTATAAGCCCTATTTAACGTAAAATGCTGGGGTTTCCCACTCTTTATTTTTCAACTCTTAAAACAAAAGAACTACCTAATAACTGATGGAGCTATTGTATTCCAAAAAGTACCGTTTCAAACTCATGAAAATTTGTTTACCATGCACTTTCCCATCAACTGATAAAAATGCTGTGTTTCAGGACCAAGCAAAGGCATAAAGTAGGATGTTAGAGCCCATGGCAGTAACAACTAAATGTCATTACCATCTGTCAGCTTCTGAATAGGTTACAGGAAACAAGGTGACAGACAAGCTAATTCTTTATGAACAAGTATCTATATTACTCATCACAACTGGTACTCATTTGCATCTTCAGAAGAAACTGCCACAAAAGGGAATAAAAACATCCAACTGAAAAATGAATTATGAAAAAGCGTTTAAAAATGTGAATAAGCTTCTGAAATAGAGAATATTTAAAGACTTACAGGGCATTATTTCAGATTCAGTATTTTTGATATAACTGAAATCAAAGAGAATATTTGCACAGTTTGAGGAATAAAATGAGGTACAATTAAGTGTGTGCAGCCCTGTACAGATGGCCTGATCCTAACATAAGATGTTAACAAAGCAGGTTGGTGGGGGAGGGGGAGCAGACCTGCATTTTCTATTTTTAAAAAAAATGTAAAAGCAGTTGGAGGGGGGGGCATAGCATTTAAGAATCAATAACTTCCAATACACAGAAATAAATCTCCTTTAGATTATGTGCTCCAAGTAAATCTACTTACTGTTTTCAAATGTGTTTGGGAAGTCATTCTGTGTTACTTTGATAAATAAATTTGGAAAATATGACAAGTAGATTTTAGTTTCTTGCCTCAGAAGTATTCTGCTAAAAGAAATAACAGAAATAACTAGGTAGCATTTCAGTTTCATTTACCTAATAAAACATTTTTCATTTAAATCATAAAAAATGTTGCACAAATACCTATCCATGCTGTTCACTGAAGAGAAAGTAATTTGAATTTGTAAATTATCCTAGTCAATGCAAAAGCTGCTTGAAAAATGATAGTCAAATTACCACTAAAAAGAAATAATGGAAGAAGTGCCAAATATCTTTCATAAAACTCCTTACTTGTATACAATACAAAATTATGGCTATTTCTAAAAGGTTTCAGCATTTAATTATTTAGCGGCAAATTGGCACATCACATTATTTTAATTTCCAGGTCTTGTAAACAAAGGGCCTAAAATTTTCTAAGAAAGCTTATTTCCCTTTTTGAAGCAAATTTTTCTCATTCTTTCACAATCATCCCAAGGTACAATCTAAGACAAAGACCAGCTACTCTTTGCACATATTTTCCAAATCATGAACGTGGAACTTTTACAAAAACAAAGAAGATAACCTAGAACACTAATGTATAAAGTAAAAAAAAGTTCACTTCTGTCGTGAAAATAATGAAGAAAGCTGATGAGATCATAAAGCCACGAAGCTTCCTGTTGGAGGCCGAGGATGAAGTCATTAGCAACCCAGGATTCCCTGGTCCTTGTAATCAGAAGCTGCACCTACCAGATTCCGTATTGTTCGGGAGAGGTGGCTTTAAAACACCCCGCTCACCAAGCCTCCAAACCAGACCACGCCTTCCCGTTATCATTCAAATGGGACCGTTTCACAGTGTGGCACACAACTACACATTTCCCGCGAGCTTAAATATCAAGTAGGAGTCAACATTTTAGATTCCCTGGGTCATGCTGCAGGGAAGATGAACTCTTGAACCCCGCGCTACATAATGAACCCAGGAGAGCCAAGATGGGCATGCTTCGGTTCTTTCAACCTTTACGGCCTTCACTGATTCCCCCCAACCCCCATTTCTTCCCAACTCTCAGTCACCTTTAAGGCACAGAAGAAAGAGAGATTCCTTACTTCCTGCTGTTGTTAGAAGGCGAGGAAACCCAAGAGCAACTTTGAACGCGTGGAAGAGAAATAGATTAATCTTGGCCACCTCTGCAAACATATGTCACCCAGCCCCCGCGCAGCGTTGGAGCCCTGCAGGGCCCCCTCTCTGGCCCCACGCCCTGGGGTTCTGTAGCTAGCCCTCAGGGTCCCCCAGTGTCAGAGAGGCGGCTCCGCGTTTCTTCCTCTCCCGCCTCCCCAAACCTCAAAGCGCAGGGGCCCCCAAGACCACATTGCCGGCCTCCAGGTTCCAATACAATAGATTGTCACTGCCCCAAACTCTCCGGCGATCCTCTTGGCGCTCCCCTTGACCCCCGGAGCCAGTCCCGGGTCTTCCTGATCCCGAGTTCAGCCAAGAGCCCAAACTTCACCATGTGAGATCCCAGGACCCGGGAGGTGACGGAGCCCCACGACTCCCGCCCAGCTCTCCCTTCACCCACTGTGCCCGACCAGCCCCAGGCACAAATCCTGCACTGGGCGCCCCCACCCATCCCACAGGACTCATCAGACGCCTCTCCCAAGGGGGACGAGGGCGAACGGAGGGCTCCCCGCCCGGCCCAGACCCCTGGGCGGCGCTGCACCCAAGCGAAGGCCCCAAACGCATCCCCGGCCTTTCCTGGTCCGTCGCGACCCCGCCGCCCACCCTCCCTACCTGGCCTTGAGGCTGGGGCTGCTGCCGCTGCTGCAGCTGCTACTGGCGGCTGCGGCTGAGGCTCGGGGTTCGTAGGCCCAGGCGGGGGCGGGGGGTTGTGCGGCCGCGCTGGCGGCGGCGGCGGGGGCGGCGGGGGGCACGGGCGGCGGCGGCGGGTCGGTGAAGCCCGAGGTCGCGTAGTTCCTGTCCATCGTGGGGGTTGCGTAGGGAGGGCGGGCAGCAGTGGGGGCTCCTCTAGGGCCCTGTGTAAGGGGGACGGGTACGCAGGGCGGGGGGAGGAAGAGGAGGAGGAGGCGGCAGCGGCGGAGGGAGCTTCCCCCTCACATGGCCCCGGCGGGCAGGCGGGAGAAGGGCGCGCTGGCGAGTCTGCCGCGGAAACCCGGGCCGTGGCGAGCGGCAAGGCCCCAGTTGCGCGTCAGGGAAGCGGCAGCACCCGCTGCTGGGACTTGCGGCGGCGGCCGCCGCTTCGCCCCATGTTGGTGGATTTCCCAGGATGCACCTCCCGCCCCCTCCGCCCCGCCTCCCCTCTGCGCCCCGCGCTCCCAGCTCGCGGGTCCGGCTGGCGGCCCCGAGGCTTCCGCTGCTACCGGCTGCCTCACGAGGGACAGCCAGCGCAGAGGAGGCGCGAAGCTTGCCCGACCCAGCTGGCTCCGAGGACTACGAGGGGCGCCCGCCAGCGGGAGCCTGCGAACCGCGGACTTCCCGCCCTCCGAATCTCCGAGGGGAGCTGTCCGTGCTCGCCGCGCCCCGGGTGGGAATGGGCCGCGCCTGCCTATCCCCCCCGCGCTGAGGAGGGGAAATTGAGCGGAAACCCAGCTTAGGGTGCTGCAAAGGGGGAGCCTTGTCAACGCTTTGCCTGGAGTTCATTACTTGACCCTTCGGGTTATTTTGAGGGACTCCCATCAGTTCCCTGATTGCGCTTTCTTTCTCTGTGCTCCCAACCAGAAAAGCTGAGCAGGCTGTTTTACAGTTCCGTTTACTCCCTTCCTGCCCAAAGCTTGCTGGGCTAGAGGACCCTTTTCCTGATGTTAGAGGAGATATATATTCAAAGAGATTCAAATTCAAACGTATTATTTTCCAGCCCTCGCTGAAAAAGCCTTTCCCAGGGGCTCTTATTAACTGTCTCCACCCCCACCTTGGGGATTTTCTCACTCTAGACTTCAGAATCTTCTATCCCAAAATAAATACAGCCTCTTCATTGATTAATCCAACTGCCATCTGGATGACTTTAATTACAATGAGTTTAAGTTTAAACTCACTATGCACGCTATTGAGACTTGGAACTTCAGCAGGACTCTCTACCCAAACATTTCCTATCTGATCTCCAAGCTGTTTGATGTGGAGTAATTTAATGACTATTTGAGGTTCTTCTGTTGCATATCAGAGTTGTGCATCTTCTAATAACTCATGAGTTGTGAAATTAGGGGGTGATAGAAATCGTTTGGTCCTTAAGCCATAAATTAAAAGTTAAAATAACAGTAAAGTTTATACTTAATGACTACCTCCCTTTAAAAATCAATATTGGTTTAACACCTTTTGTGTGCTTAGCACAGAAATCTATCCCTCAAGATAAGCCAAACATAAAGGTTTTGACAAATCAGGCGTAGTGGAAGACCTAATAAACTTGATACACTATCTCCGACGACCGTTTAAAAAGTTTAAACTTCGATAATACCTGGTGTTGGATCTGCTATTCCTTCCGAGATTAATTTTGTTCTGGGAGATCCTGTTTTCCTCCAGGCGCCTACATCCTTTTGTTCCTATTCATTCCTTTTTGTAAGTCTTCCTGCACCTGTGATGCTTGGAGCCTGGTCCCCGGGTGGGGAAGCAAGGAAGTGAGTAGTCCTTATTTACAAATGAATTAAAACGTGGAGGCACAAGTGACCTTGCCAATTTTATGTTAATTACAGAATGCATTTACTGAGGATATCTTTGAAAAGTGATTTGCTTTGGGGAAGGAATTCGCCAAATAATCTGAGATCCTGCAGAGAAGTAATATAAATCTTCATTACAACATTTATTTTTCTTCCTGCAGACTGGAAATCTGGAATCTAAATAAAGCAAGTTTTCACAACTAGCTATTATGTTTATAAGCACTTTTGTGAGCACTACAGTTTTGTCTCTATGAAAAGTGTAGGAAATGGAGTGCCATGCTATAAATATTTTATGACACTTGGTTTGAGATACCCACAACTGGTACTCAGAGTGACTTTTGCAGGCAATACCAAACAAGTGGCAATAAAACCTTTATAATCCCTCACACCATTATGTAGTTTGTTTATGTCACATAAATCAGAAAAGATAATTAGAGGAAAATTTTGGTATTTTTAAATAATATTCCTTTGTCACCATATGTTCCTTTTTTTGTTAAATGAAATTTCCTTAGTTTCGCCTAAATCAGTACAGGTACATGTATTTCCAAATGTTACATGTCTACAAATAGCATCATTAAATCTTTTGTTATTATTATTTTAATTTACAAATAATGTATACATTTATGGGGTACAGTGTGATGGTTTGATATATGTAAATAAATCTTTTTAAAATTTCGTACAATTGATGATACTATCTAAAGAATGTCTTCTTCACTACTGAAAATATACTCCCAAGTCTGCTAATTTTTCACGATCTCTTTCAGATGATTCCCAAGCAAGCTGCTTCAAGTCTGATCTAGGCAGTGTCAAAAGTCTAGAATGAGTATTGTTGTTGTTTTAAATAAAAACGTCCATTTCGTTCTTTGCCTGTGGAACTACTACTCATCATTTAAGATCCAAATAAAACATTTTCCATGACATTTCCCCAACTCCCCCAGGCAAAATCAGTTGCTTCCTTTTCAATTGTCCTATGGTGCTTTATACCAATTTCTATTATATTTGACGTTATCGTATTGCTTAACGATTGTGTGTCTGCCTCTTTCCCTCATAGATCATGAGTTCCATAAAGGCGGGGGTTGTATTTAATTCATCCTTGTATGCTCAGCACTTAGTGTTATCCCTGGTACTATGTTAGGCTCTAAAAATATGTTTATTGGATGAATAAATACAGATGCTACTTTATTTATTTAGAGACAGGGTCTCACTCTGTCACCCAGGCTGGCATGCAACGACGCAATCATAGCTCACTGCAGCCTTGAATTTTGGGCTCAAGTGATCCTCCTGCCTCAGTCTCTTGAATAGCTGGGACTACAGGCAAACACAACCATGATCCG